GACTCAACGAGTTGCTAGCCCCACTTATCGAGTAGGGTCACGATCCGCAAGTATTTTAAGTGACCTACTCGACAAGTCGGGAGACCGACTCGGAGAGTAAGTGCTATTTGAGGGAAACCCTAAATCTGAGGGTTTGCACCTTATTTAAACGTCTTATTGCAGCCTCCATTTTCCCATATGCTCCCAGAACACCTCTAATCGAAATGCTAACCGCTTTGAGTGATCGAAGGTCATTTTTGGTGCTTTTGGGTGGTTGTGAGGCTTGGAAGGAAGGAGGAAGCTTGGGAATTCGAGTTGGGGCTTGTAGATCTAGAGATCTTATTCCATTTTCAGCTCAATCAAGGTAAATGCCCCCTGTTTTGGTCTTTCTTTTGGCTGTTCATCTTTAGGGCTTAGATTTTGGGTGCATTTAGGGCTTTCTAAGCCATTTCCAGATTTGTGATGGGATTCATGGAGTTCTACTTTCATATCGGAGTCATTGGAGGGGTCTCATGGCATGAAGGTGCCAATTTTGTGGCCATGAGAGCCCCATGCACATTGTAGAACACCTTTTATGGATTTTTGAACCAAAAACCCCATGCATGTGCACCAAGTTTGGAACTTTACGTATAAAATGGACATTAGGAGGCCAGATATATGGTTTTGATGTGTTAAGACCCATTTAAATCGATTGTATAGTATTGGTCAAGGATGGACTCGCCAATTTGTTCTTGGGACTCGGCAAGTCGAGGCGTAATGACCGCCGAATCCATTTTGCGAATGGACCAGTTGTTAGGGAGGGGAGTCCCGTGGATGTTTAGACGCGAAAAAGGACCCGAGAACCATGGGACTCGACGAGTGTATGAGTAGACTCGGCGATTCCATGGCAATCTCCCAACGTTTGAAGATGAACTCGACGAGTTGTTCATACAACTCGGCGAGTCAAGGGCAGGACTTGTTCATAGAATGGTAATGAACTCGACGAGTTGTTCATACAACTCGACGAGTCAGAAGAAGGCTCATTCGGAGTTATTTTAGAAGGAGAACTCGTCGAGTCGTGGCCAAGCTCGATGAGTTGAGGCGTGAAGAAGGCTAGATGAAAGGATAGGGACTCGACAAGTTGGTGACCCAACTCGGCGAGTCGGGTCAACTGGAAAATGACTTTGAGTTTGAATTGGTCAGGGGTAAAATAGTCATTTTACCCCAAGAGTAGTTATCAGTGTCTGATTAAGTAATTTACAGATTTATAGCCAGAGGACTGCCGGAGCAACAGTCAGACATCTACAGATCAACTTTTCAGCAGTCAACCTTGCGAGGTGAGTTACCTTCCAGTAGCGGTGGGTCTACGGCCACAATCCCGACCCACCAGTAGGAGTTGTATATTAGATGATCGTCTTTGTGATATCATCTAGGTTTGCTACTACCTGATCTGTTATATGCTGGCATGATATGTCATATGTGATAGTAGTAGAGTTCGGTTATTAGGACCGAAGGGTAGGTTAGGCACCCCAGATATGTCTGACAGTATGTGATGATATGTTTATATGTTGGCATGATATGTTATATGCGATAGTGGTAGTAGGAGGGGAATAGTCCCCATGTTCGGTTGTTAGGACCGAAGGGTAGTTCAGACACCCAGGATATGTCTGATGTTATGTTTATGTTATGATATATGTGATAGTAGCAGTAGGGGTGGAATAGTCCCTGAGGGTCGGTTGTTAGGACCGATGGGTAGGTCAGCACCCCAGAATGGCTTGACACGGGTAAGTCAGCACCCCATAATGACTTAACATGGGTAGGTCGACACCTCAAAATGGCCGTACCGGGTAGGTCGGGCACCCTAGAATGCCCGACAGTATGTATGTTATATGATTGTATGGTATGCGGTACGATGGGGGAACTCACTAAGCTTCTTGCTTACAGTTTATAGTTTTGGTTTCAGGTAACTCTTCAGTGAAGGGGAAGGAACTGGCGTGGTAGCAGCACATCATATACACACGCATTGGTTTTCCGCACTTGAGATATTCTGGGATTGTACTCTGACATGTTACTATTTTATGATTTGGGTTTTCAGACATGATATATTGATTCACGAAATGATATATTTTTACGTAATTTTCTTATGAATGTCTTTATAATCAGTTAAAGAATAATGAAAATTTTGGACTCAAAATTTGGGATGTTACAATCGGATACACAATTTGTAGTGAATTCTTCAATTAATGTCTTGATTGTAGCCAAATCTTCCTTCGTCATTGGTCCTTGGAAATCAAGGAGTTGCTCGTAGTCACATTTATCCTATCGTAGAAAATAGAAACTTCTTGTTGAACATTGAAATCGTGTTGTGGGCCTTTCCTTAGCTTTCCTTTGTACATATCCCATGCTTTGTGTAAAGACTCGCCATCGTTTTGAAGCTTAGATATCTTCTTTTTAAGCTTAGCTATCTTCGAGGGGGGATGAATTGCTCATTGAAAGCATTGCAAAGGCTAGTCCAAGTTCTAATCGTTCCCGGTGCAAGTGACTTCAACCATACTTTTGCATCACCTGTAAATGTCACCAGAAGCATCCTGAGTAGCACCACATCTCTTGAAACATTTGGCACATGGAAGTAGTTGGCAATGTCTAACACTTCATCAATGTTTTTGAAGGAGTCTTCAAGAAAATGGAATATCCTTGAGCATCGAGAGAATATGTCCCTTGAGCTCAAAGTTCGTCATTGTTGAAATTTTTGGTGGAACAAGGCTCGATCCGTTGTCATCACGCATCTGCTTCTTGTATTCTTCCATCGTCGTTCTTGTAACACCCGCCATCTCTTCTACCTCGATTTTGAATTCGTCTTCTGAATCGTCCTCGGTTCCTTCCTCGTAACCAATGCCCTTCTTATATGGAGTCTTGTCAAAGCTTTCAAAACCCTTAATTGCTACTTGATTCGTTGACCTTTTTATCCTCTTCTTGTGGAACTTGGATTCTAGATCGTCAAGTAGGAGCACAATCTTAGAATTTGATCCCTTTGTCATATATCACCGAAACAAACCAAAACAAAAGCGTAAAAACAAACTAAAAAGCAAATAAATGAAAATTTGAAAAATGACTCTTCTCACGTCGTGACAGGTCCTGTTCACGACGTGAACACTGTAAGAACAGAAAAAAATTATTTAAATGCATAAACTTAGCTTGTTTTGGTTGTTATCCCAAAAAAGGATCGATTAACCTAAAACCATTAAATTAACAACTGAAATAAGTTGTTACATAGCAATGACGCCAAAAACTTGATGTGCAAAAATATACCTATCGGTTTTAAATTTATAACCTAACAAAACTTATCTACTGGTACACCTATAGGCAGTGTACCTAATCAATCTATAACATTGAAAAGTAAGTCGCATATCAATCACATGGAACAATATTTAGCTAATAAAATAACTACTAAAAATTAATCTAAAACAATAAATAAAATAAGGGTTATATCTGATTTTGCAAGTTCACATTAACTTAACTATTTAATTAACTCAAAACTAAACAAACAACTTTACTAAAAATGATTGTAATAAAGATAATGAAGACACTTGTCCTTTAACTTTGAATCTCCATTTACCAATCTACAAATTATTAAAAATCTTGATCCGATCATACACAAGTGGACACATATTTGTTTTCACCAACTCATTTTCAAGTTTTTACTTTGCTAATGTACTACGTTTACAATGTATGATAGTTGCATATTAATAGTATGAAGTTGTAAAAAAATTATATTTAGAGGCTCCAACCTTCCTTACCGACATGAACAAGTCCTAAATGGGACAAACCTGTTTTCATAACTGGGGCGACAAATTTTTTGAACACTGCAAGAATTGTCTACTAGGTATAGTTTTGCAAAAAAAAAATAAATAATAATAATAAATAAAAGAAAAAATTGGTGATTAGAAACGATCTAAAGCAAACAACCGAGACTCGTTGGGTTCTAAGTTCGTCATTGGCACATATATTTAGTGGCGGGACCAGAAATTTTAATTAGGGATGAGTGTGGGAAGGAACCGGTACCGACCCGTCCCGTTCCCGATTTCCCGAATACCGAATTTGATCGAAAGTTAATCCCGAGTACCAAACCGAATTAACATCACCGGTACCGGTACCGGGAATGGTACCGGTACTCGGTACTAGTACCGGTACCTGTGATACCAATTCCCGAATTTCATGTATTTGGAGTACCAAGTACTGTCCCGTATTTTTAAATTCGGTACGGTTCGGTACCGGTTCCGGTACGGGATCGGGATTTAGGACAAACTGCTCATCCCAAATTTTAATACGGGGTACAAAGATAATCGAAATTTAAAATAACATTTGAACAATCAAAATCTACATAAAAACATGAAACCTCTTGAAGCTGTAATTTTTAACAAAAGTTTTCGAATGGATGGTAGAATACCGATCTTGTTATTGTCTTTAAACTCTTGACAACAATCACTTTGATTAATGAGAAGAAAAAAAAAACGGACAGCAAGATTTAATGTTTCGAGTTGGGGGTGCAAGGTAGTTAAACTTACTTACATATAGATACTAATATATAAATTTTATTTCGGGTACAATTGTACCCCCAACACTCTATCTAGCTCCACCACTACCACCGCATATATTTACAGGTAATACTCCACTATAATGTTCAAATTACCGATCTTTTATTGGGTAAGAACGTATCAATGCTTGTTTGATTCAATTTTTAAAATGTATTTCTATATTATTTATTTAATAATATTAATAATAATGAATTTATAAAATAACATATTTATTTATATATTTAATAAAATAATAATAAAAGAAATAATAAGATTACTTTGTCGAAAATCTTAATATTTTGAATTCATAAATTAAAAAAAATATTTTTATCGGTTTTAGGACATTTTTCTAAAAAAATAATAATCTGATATTACTAGTATTTATATAAGGGCAAAGAAGTAATTTTAGACTCTGGATAAATGATACAATCATATCAAGGCTAATGGTCCCATGTAGACGTCCACATTATGTCCATCCAGTATTTATGCTCCAGTGCTTCGCGGGACTGGGTCCGAACCGCTGACTCTGCCCATCAGATTTACAGGGCATTCTTCCTTAAATCGTAACAACCGTTAGATCTTAATCCAACGATCACCACAGCGCGTCCACTATTGTCATCCCAAATCTGTGCGCCACCTAACTCACTCTCTCCTCCTTCCTCTCCGCAACCTCTCTCGCCGGTGAAACGAGAAAACGAAACCCTAACGACGACGGCGATCATCTTTTAGCCTTTACCTTCCGGTCAAGCAAAGGTACATATGCATATATACATACACACATATATACGCATATTCCTGTATTTGTTTATAGATTATATGTTCCGACTTGCATATATTTGAAGGAAACTGTATAATCTGACGAAATTTATGCATAATTTGACGATCAATTTGATATAGAATGGTAACATTTGATCGAAGAATATGATACCAAAAAATGGATGGTGAAAAGTAGTCTTACTTTTTTTTTTTTTTTTTCCAACTCAATTGTTTAATGTTCCTGCATATTCTTCATATAATTATAATTAATTAAAGACGTCAGAATTTTCTGTTCAGAGTCAATTAATCTTGTCAAGTTTGAAATTATAGAGTGATTCAGCTCATATGACACTCAGAAGTTAATTTGTAGTCTGCAAGTGAAATTGAACATTGCAAATAATTAATTAAAAATTAAGAAGGATTAAACTTCAGCTTAGATATGTTTTTGAATCTTCTTCTCTTACTTACGATATTTCGAGTTGGTGCTTTATACATTTAACCTCAGAATCATGGAATATCCCCCTAGGGCCTATCATAGTTGGTTCCTGGATAGTAAGTAGCAGAAATGGTTGGAAAATAATCCTTTTGCACTATGAATGATGGCATATCTGCAATCTTTTTTAATCTGTGTTTACACTTGTATGCACACATACATAATTATGTATAATTGTATATCATCAAGGTTTAAGAGTCTTTTGGATCCTGTTGTAGGTTTTGGTTCTCTTTGTGATAAAGACTAGGCTTTTAACAGAGGGTGACTTTCATAAAGTTGAATAGAAGAACATGATAATGAAATGAAACTGAAAGTAGGTGATAACGTTTTCTTTGTTACTTACAAAAGGGTCCACTCATTTAATGATATGATTCCTGTAATATTATCAATGGGCAAACTTCTTTATATACTAATCCTCTGTCTAATGTGTCAATGCTATACTAAATTCCCCTTAAAGTGAATCTTAGAATACAAATAAGATCAGAAAGACCATCATAAGAGCAAACAAAGCAATGCCTTTTGTGACAGCAAACCCTAAAATGTCATAATGAAACAACTTAGCAAAACCTCCATAACTTTGTTAAACTTTTCATCTCAGTCCATTCATTGTAAACATGATTGCTATTTTGATGCTAAATTCATCATATTGAAATCATATTTCGCAGAAATTCCTCTAGTAATTTAATCATCATGATAAGATGATATTTGGTTTGTATTTAACCCATCTTATTTTCAGGAAATTCCTCTATATTACTTGTTACAATGATCAAAACCAAACTACTAGCAAATGGGAATCTTTTATGTTTCAAGATTGGAATTTTGGCACGGATGTTGTAGTGATGAGGGTGGAAGAGGATAGAATGGGACAACATGGTGTTGCCTTTGACCAATATAACGATTTCAATAATGGACCCGACCCAGACCCACCCGGGATTCCCACACCACACGATAAATCCCGGGATTCCCGCACCTCACGACCAAGAAAACGTAGTGTTCCTAGCGGTGTCATGTACCTATCCGTGGACGGAAACCGGATTCCCCCCGAAACATCCCGCAGTTCTCGAACCCCGGAATCAAAGATTCCGGATTCCATCACCAATTCCGCTCGTTACACAACTAGCAAACGTTCACTAGGTCGAGACGCCCAAAACCTACTCGATTACTTCCGAAAAATCCAAGCCGAAAACCCGGGTTTTTACTACGCGATACAGCTCGATGAAGATAACCGTATGGGAAATATATTTTGGGCGGATGCAAGGTCAAGAACTGCTTATTCCCATTTCGGTGATGCAGTTACACTAGACACAATGTATAGAGTCAAACAATACAAAGTCCCATTTGCTCCTTTTACCGGGGTCAACCACCATGGTCAAACGATTCTCTTCGGTTGTGCATTGCTTCTAGATGAATCCGAATGTACATTCACATGGCTTTTCAAGACCTTTCTTGCAGCCATGAATGACCGGGCCCCGGTTTCCCTAATCACCGACCCCGAGAAATCGATCCAAGATGCGGTTTCACAAGTTTTCCCGGGAACCCGTCATTGTATTAACAAATGGCATGTGTTAAGAGAAGGTCACGAAAGATTAGCTCATGTTTGTCATATTCATCCGAATTTTCAAATCGAGCTGTATAACTGTATAAACATGACCGAAACAATCACGGAGTTTGAATCCGCGTGGGATTTCATCCTCGATAGATACGATCTTAGAAGAAACGATTGGCTTCAATTATTATATTCCGTTCGACACCAATGGGTCCCGGCTTATTTTCGCGACACATTTTTCGCGTTCAATAACGTTTTCGAAACCTCGTTTTTTGATGGATATGTAAACGAACACACAACGGTTCCCATGTTCTTCAGACAATATGAAAGAGCTTTAGAGAATTCATTCGAGAAGGAAATCGAAGCCGATTTCGACACGATTTCCACCACCCCGGTGTTGAGAACCCCATCACCTATGGAGAAACAAGCTGCGAATTTATACACGAAAACAATATTTTCAAAGTTTCAAGAGGAATTAGTCGAAACATTTGTATATACTGCAAATCGGATCGATGGAAATGGTGATGTGAGTACTTTTCGTGTTGCGAAATTCGAAGATGATCAGAAATCGTATCTTGTTTCGTTTAACGTGAGCGAGTTACGCGCGAATTGCAGTTGTCAGATGTTCGAGTATTCCGGGATTCTTTGTAGACATATTTTGACTGTTTTTACAGTGACAAATGTGCTCACGTTTCCATCACATTACATTATGAAAAGGTGGACACGGAATGCGAAAAGTGGGAATTTGTTGCAAGAATCAGGAAATGGGAACGAGTCGTTAGGTGTTCGTTACAATTTTTTGTTGCGGGAAGCTGTGAAATTTGCTGAGGAAGGGGCGGTTGCTCCGGATACTTTTACGGTGGCGGTTGCCGCCCTGAGAGATGGCGGGAGGAAGGTGGCTGCCGCCAAGACAAATGTGGCGAGTTTTGCTCCGGCGAATTCACAGGTGAGTGTGATTGGTTATGATAACAGGAAAATGAATTCTACATCGGATATGACACCTTTGTTGTGGCCAAGACAAGATGAAGTGACAAGAAGGTTTAATCTTAATGATGGTGGTCTTTTGGGTCAACCTGTTACGGATTTAAATCTCCCGCGTATGGCTCCAGTTTCCTTAAGGCGTGATGATGCACATCATGACAACATGGTATGATATGTTTTATTGTATGATATTTTTCTTTTTGGGATATATGATTGTTTCATCTTTTTCCCAATCTATGCAAGAAAGTTGTATTTAACCGGTTGAAACTTTAGGTTTTTTTTTTTTTTTTTGCTTATTTAGTGTATTTTGTGACTCACAGGTGATTCTTCCTTGTCTTAAGTCGATGACATGGTTAATGGAAAATAGAACTTTGCCTCCAGCAAGCAGAGTAGCTGTCATAAACCTGAAGGTATGCTCATATATATATATATATATATATATATATATATATATATATATATATATATATATATATATATATGTATGTATGTATACACACGTACATACATACATATACTGATGATATACATGTGCTCATGTATATGTCTATATGTCTAAACTTATAAATGCATAGAAGCATACATACTTACATATATGCGTGTATGTGTGTATATATACATGCAAATATATCCATATCCATACAAATAATGTGTGTGTGTGTGTTATGTAGACCCTATTTATAAGAGGTAGAGCAGCAAAAGACTAAAATCTGTGCATTTTTTTTGTAAAATCTCCCAAATCAGAATAATTTATAGATAACAGGGGAATCAAAAGAGACTATCTATTTGCATTTCTTAGAGGTGATTTATTATGATACCCAATTGATTCCTATTAATTGAAAATAGAAAAGACTAAACTACCCCTACCAGGATCTTAAGTGACTTTATTAACAGTATTTGTGTATTTAGACAAGTTAAAAGAAGTAGAGAACAATTAAAACACGGATATAAGATGCATTTCTGATGTCAATCCAAAAAATATGGAACAAGGTGGGACAGAGACATGCTCATCTGCGCAAAAAGACAAAAATGCCCTCTTCATCCTCATGATTGAGAATAGCCTTAGAAAAGCTTGTCCGGTCTTCTCTCTTGTAACATGAATAGAATCCATGGTGCTTTCCTTTGTTTAACTGATTATTTCTGATATTTTAAGGTTTTGTTATTTGCAGTTGCAAGATTATAGAAGGACACCCGCAAGTGAATCGGAGGTTAAGTTTCAGCTTTCAACAGTTACACTAGAGCCAATGTTGAGGTCAATGGCTTACATCAATGAACAGCTATCTGCTCCTGCTAATAGGGTTGCTGTTATTAATTTGAAGGTATGAAAAATAATGTTTTGTTTTGTTTCCATTTATCTGTTAATTAAGCAGCCTACTTTCATATCTTCCTATTACAACACACATTAAACTTTGAAAAATCCACTCAGTTATCCACATACAAAGTAATTTTCAGTGCCATAATTGAGTAGTAGATTTTTCAATGCAATGCTTTAATAACAAGAAAACAGGAAGTACAAAGAAAGAAATGCTAGTCAAACATATGAATGGAAGTAGGTTGTTATTTCTTGCATTTATCCATATATAACATGAAGATTTAGAAATTTGACATATTTATCTGTTGTTATTATGTGTTTCCAGCTTCAAGATACGGATACTAGTACAGGAGAATCTGAGGTGAAGTTTCAGGTGTCTAGGGACACATTAGGTGCCATGTTGAGATCAATGGCTTATATCCGTGAGCAGCTCTCAAATGCAGTAAGCTTTATGTTCCTTCATTTTAAAATTATGTTCTGTTTTTGCATTTACTATTGACGAGAATATTCTAATGGAATCAAACATGAATATATTTTTCAGGCTGAATCAGCATCAGAGATTCCATCAAAGAAACCAAGAAAATAGAACCAACTATTTTTTTCTTCTGTTCTATAAACATCAACAATTGAGCCACTATTTCTTCACAGTTTTGCAAGTATTAATGACCATCAACTAAAGTTCTTGCAAACTGTGGAATGTGTTAGTTAATTGGTGGTCTTTTTTGTTTTTAGAGGTAAATTAGTTTTTAATTTTCATGGTCTTTTGTTACTAGATACTAAAAGCATTGAGAGATAGAAGAAAAAGTGTTGTAGGTTGTTAGGTGAATTTTCGTCCATTGATGCTGTGATTTATTGTATATACTTTTTGATGATATAACGCTCTTTAGAGGAGTTGTTGATAATAGTAATATGTTCATGTTTGTTAGCTTTTCAATGGGGTTGAAAGATATTTGTTTGATTATTAGTAAAATTAAAAAATAAATTTGTTTGATTATTTTTGTCGGTCTTCAGCTTGAGTTAGACACCTGTCTTCAAATCCATCCGGAGTTGAGGAGAAATCAAAAAACGTTGTTGCTTCAAAAGATGTAGGGTGGTTGGGGATTGATAGTTTATATGTGATGAATCGTGCTCTTTTAGCTAAATGGCATTGGAAGTTTTTCAGTTAGCTAAATGCTCTTAGTCATATGTTACATACAAGATTTTATACTATTTTTGGGTTAAAGTGCTTAAAGCCATAAATGGTTTGGCACGAGATAATCTGATATGGCCTATGGGTAATTATATGGTAAAAACGAGCGAATAGTTTATTTGAGAATAAATGACTTGGAACGAGTTCTCTTGCTAGTAGCCTGAGATTATATGGTTTAAAAACTCATAAAAATCGGTTGGTGTCTACATCTCTACATACTATCACATGGCTTTTGGGTGTGGAATTGGAAGCATCATGGAATGGATGGAGAAGATTCAAGGAATCACCAAATTCTCTTGAAAATGTGGATCCGTGGATATAAGATTGGGATATCTCCGTAAAAATCCAAATATTTTGACAAAATTTTAATTAAGTTCTAAATTTTATTTTTTGAACAAAAAAGTCCTGAATTTTTCATCTTTTGAATTGAAAAGCCCAAGAAACCGATTCATTTATTCATTTTAGTCCTTTTTGACTTGTTCAGCAGGTCATGAGGCTAAATTGTTATTTTCTCGAAAATAATGAGACTTTTTTAAAGATTTCGTCAAAATTTTTATATAATTTATAAACATATTTTTTTACATATCTATATCTATTTTTACGTATTTGTGTATTTTTTTTCAAGTTTTTATATGTATATATTTACGTATTTTTATGTATTTTAAATGTATAAACGTATTTTTTACTTATTTATATGTATTTTTAACCATTTTACATATTTTTATGTATTATTTTTTATGTATTATGTATTTTTACGTATTTTGTATTTTTTAAGCTTTTTTATATAGATGTTTATGTATTATAAATGTATAAACGTATTTTTTTACATATTTATATGTATTTTTAAGTATTTTAAATATTTTTATGTATTTTGATGAGTTTTTTTATGTGTTACGTATTTATATGTATTTTTATGTATTTATGTATTTTTTTAAAAAGTTTTTATATAGATGTTTATGTATTTTAAATATATAATTGTATTTTTTTTATATATTTATGTATTTTTTTGCTTCAAGTCGTCTTCACCATTTCATCCAATCATACAACTTCTTCGAATATGTCTAGATGGTTTTCCTACATACTTACATTTTTTAAGCTTTTCCCATTAGTTTATCTTGAAATTAAACATCAAATGGGAAAAGCTTAAAGTATATGGGTATATAGTAAAATCATCTAAACATATATGAAAAAGTTGTGCAAATTAGATGAAATGGTGAAGACGACTTGAAGTAAAAAATAAATAAACACGTAAAAAATAATACGATTAAACATTTATAATACATAAAAATATATAAACATCTATATAAGAAAACTAAAAAAAATACATAAATACGCAAAAATACATAATACATAAAAAAACACATAAAAAATATGTAAAATACTTTAAAAAATACAAATAAATACCTAAAACAATATGTTTATACATTTAAAATACATAAATATACAAAAACATTTATATAAAAAACTTCAAAAAATACATAAATACATAATACATAAAAATACATAAAAAATATGTAAAATATTTAAAAATAGATATAAATATATAAAAAATATATTTATACATTTATAATACATAAGCATCTATATAAAAAGCTTAAAAATACATAAATACGTAAAAATACCTATAAATACATAATACATAAAAAATAACACATAAAAATACATAAAAAAATATGTAAAATGATTAAAAATACATATAAATAAGTAAAAAAAATATGTTTATACATTTAAAATACATAAAAATATACAAATATATACATATAAAAACTTTAAAAAATACACAAATATGTAAAAATAGATATAGATATGTAAAAAATATGTTTGTTAAAAAAAATAGATTACTCAAAACTTTTAGTTTCTTCTTAAACCCTACTTTTTGGTTTAATTGGTTCAGTTTTTTTTTTTTTTTTTTTATACATCTTGAAACTAACCATGACCAAATCAAATAATGTTTCGTTTAATCGGTTGTGGTTAATTCGGTTATGCTTTATTTGGTTCGATTTACCAGTTAAATCGAATAAAATTTCGTATATATAAAAATATTAAACTAAAAGAAAAAAAAAAAACATTCCAAAATTTTACCAAGTGAAAAAAAATACACTAATACATAACATATTGTATATAATTTTTCACTATGTTGTCTTGAAATTTCATTTTAGGTATACAAGTTGTAGAGACCGGTTAATATAACTTGAGTCGTATATGAAAAAGATAAAATCATCGACGGTTAATTGACATTTGGTTAATTAGTTATTGCTTTTTAATATAATATATAAACAATTATAGATTTATAATGGTTAATAATTACATAATGATTAAAGAAAATATTTTTTTATTAATTGATCTATTAATTAAAATACAAAATGTTAATTTATAGACATAAACTATAAAAATATATATTAATTAAAAAGCTTAATCGGTTTTTTTTTTCAGTTTAACTAAAATAATGAAAATTTATCCAAAACCAAACCAAAGAAGATATTCTCATTTGGTTAACCAAATAAACCAAACATCATTTGGTTCGATTCAGTTATTCGTTTTCGTTTTTTTTATCGCACCCCTAACTGGAATCGGTAAAATGTAAGTTTAAGGTGGTGGAAGTAGAATCTAAGCTACTTAGATATTAAAATTTTCCAATGTTATTTAAACAATTTATTTATATGGGTGATTGTATTTTTGACATAAAAATTAGAGTTTGTAATTTATTGTAGTAATTTTTTTATATTGTTTACATTTGGATTTTAAATGAGTTAAACAAGTTCAATCCATTTTGTTAAAAGGTTGAAATGGAAAAAATTAACAGACTCAATGTTAACTCATTTATTTAACAAATTGTGTTGGGTGTGTTGAAAATATCAAAAACATTTAATTAAATATGTTTGGATGCTTGAGATTTTCAACCTATTTCGGAAATAACTCAGATCCAACCTCAAATGGATTAAGCCCAAACCAAACCCATTACTAGCTTTAACTTTATCTTATTCGGGTTTTTGTTTCTTATTCCCTCTATTCAAATGACAGGAATTCGGTTGTGGGTTGTGGTCAAATTGACCGGATGAGGGAACTCCGATTAAAATTAATATTTTTGGATGGAAAGTTGGATTCCATAGGTTGTATACACTAGCTAATTTGGATCGTTGGAGGTATAGTGGCAAACTACTTTTATGTCTGGTTTGTGAGCATATTTTGTATCAAGTGAGCTTGTGAAGAAAGCATGGCAACAAGTGGTCATGTGTGGGAGGGAATTGATTCCCTATGCCTACTAATTTATCGACAGTGTTAGGATTTTGGACGACGATGTGAAGCTCAAGATTTCAAAAAGGCATCGTTGTGAAGGAATTTAAACTTTTATACCTTTATGCTAACTTCAGTACTAGATTCTAAATATATGTTTTTATAAAGTGTTTTTCGACTTGTTTACATGTTCGTTTTCTACATTCAGAAATTTCTCACATCACATTCTCTAGTTCCTAGAAATTTGTATTTTCACAGGACAACTCCACGCTCGTTTTCACTTGATAACAATCTCGTCTTGTTCAAAAGAATACAAATAAGTTGATTCTGATTATATACGTAAACTTAACGATCAAAAAAAAAAAAAATTCAAGTGTAGATAGAACAAACGAGGTTGGTGAACTAAGCTTATATATTAGCATTCTCATCACCTTATGCAATAAAGCAAATTTTGACACAAACTTCATATGTTTGAGAATCAGATGTAAGCAAGCAACCCAAATCAAGTCAATTGCAACCATAATACAACAGAGCTTGTGCACTGGATAACTTAACAATGCATATTAATTAATCGTTATACAGACATGAATGTGATCAGAAGGATTTCTTTTCATAAGACACAAGACCATGAACTCCACCTTCCACCTGTGCTGCCCCTGTTCGCACCTAAACAAAAGTCAAAAACATAAATACAGTTAATGACCAAATTTGTTTTTGGGACGAAAATCGTCCGCTTTCGATTATTTAGGGTAAAAAAACGATAATTGGAAAAAGGTTTTGGTATACCTCAAGCCTTAGGACTCCAGACCTCAACAAATCATGAGCTGATTGCAATGAAGAAGCACCAAGATCTTGGAAACCTTGTTTCACTGCTTGCATGGTGTAAGGAATAAACTTTAACACAGAACCTTTATCTGCAACTGCTCCAACAACCCCTTGAGCAATCTTCATTTTGGCAGTGTCACCAAGGTAACGTGCGTCACTTCCTTTTGTCATTGCTTCTAGAGATCCCATTCCTCGGTATTTTTTGACCCGTTGACCACCCTGGTTGACCAAAACGAGAAAAAAAAAAAGGACTTAATCTGGTAAGTTATATATATGGGTGTTTTCTTTTTGCTTAATAAATTTAAAATTGAAAGTTAACTTAACCTACCTGATTTGTATAAGCTCCAGGAGCTTCAGTACTTCCTGCTAAAAAGCTCCCCATCATGACAGTTGATGCTCCTAAAGTCAAAGCTTTGACTATGTGTCCAGAATTTGAAATCCCACCATCAGCAATCACTGGGATACCACTTTTTGCAGCAACTGATGATACCTTGTACACTGCAGTTGCCTGCAATAAATAGAAATAGCAACCTACTTTCATTCATTTGTCACTATTACTTTTAATTATTTTCTTATTAAGGCATTGTACTTTAAAATTTCGACCCAAATTATTATGCCAGTGAAAATTGCTTTGTACTTCAATGGCATCTCAAATGCACTATTTTACACTTTTGGCCCAAGTTGTAAACTT